AAAAAGCCTAATTCAAAAACTAGAAGCCAAAAAAGTAAATTGCGCAGCACCATCTGCGAGCCAGTGACACTTCCGGCACTACTTCTCGAAAACGCACACTCGAAACTGAAAAAAAATATCCAATCCCGGTAAGGAAAAAATCACTCTACGCGAATCAATGGAAAAACCCGATTCAAAAAGCCTAATTCAAAAACTAGAAGGCGAAAATATAAATTGCGCAGTACGATCTGCGAGCCACTGACACTTTCGGCACATTCGAACAGTTCAAATTTAGAAAGGGTAAGCAGAATGATTAAAGAACATTCTATTCTATCGGGATATTATATATATCAGAAGTATATGGCGTATATATATTTGCGAAGAAATTGGAATTACCTATCATTGTTTCTCGAGTTCACACAATCACTGCTTTATTTAGCAGACCCTACAGACCCTCAAAATTATATAAAAAGTGATAAAAGGATTAAGAAACTGTCTACACAAATTACTGTGAACTACAAACCGCAATGAACAACAGAAATATAGAATCTATATGCGAAATTGCCTATCTACCCAATAGCAGCATACGATATGCACTAGCGTCACTTTATTGCAAACATGGTGAGTCAAAATGGACGAAAAATTGGAGGGATAATATAGGAACTTTGTTTTGGACGCAATGTGTGCTAAATATCGCAACTGACAACCGAAATTCAATAACGTCCTATGATTACGCGATTTGCACTTTCACCACTTTATTTCGCACATCATTTTATATATGCACTATTTAATGTCACTTCGTCCCACTTATGATATATTGCTATCGAACACATGTTGGTAGTTAGATATCCTGATTTGGTAAAGTTCTGTCAGTTCCTTAAACTTCTGCTGTTGCGCATTCATATATATTTCGACGATGATGGAAACGTAACCTATTAGTTCCCATGTTACGAAGTAATAATTGATACTTTGCATAATTGTTCTCAAATATGTTTTTCGTCGATTAGAATAATTAAAACATCAATCAATGATCACACTGCTTCACGATACGTTTTGTAAACATATAGAATGTTTCACTTTCAAGCGCGAAAATTTCCACCATGTGTTACGGATACGTTCGATCTGACGACTCAACGTTTACTGTGATTGGACAAGCTATGCGTTGTCATCATGGGAAGTCTTTTCATCTTTGAAACGACCATGTACTAAAGTATCGATGTAGAGTATCAAACGATGTCTGTTATAACAGAAAAGCAAATACAAATATGTTTCTGTTATGAATATGACGAATTAAAAACTGCTTAATCTTCATGACAAAAAAGGTTTAAATGAATAAAATTAATTATAAAATTAGTAATAAAAATATAATATGTATATACACATATATGTACATATTTCTTTCAAGGCAATATGTTCTTGCAATGCGTGACAAGTCTAAAAATTTGAAATTGTTAGAGCATAAGCAGGCAACGAATCATGTTCGTTATTTGCGAAGTCACAAATTTTCAATTTGCATGTATTTGAAGTATCAAATTTCTTGTATATTAGGTCGGCAATATAGAAAGCGACTTTCGATTAACGATAGATTCATTCTTTCTCTGAATGTCTGTAGGTAATGTTACTAGAGATTTGGATATGGTAAGGATATTTCGAAACTTGATATTTGATGTCGGTAATGTCGAAAACTATATAAAAATCGTATGAATGATGTATCTAATAAATGAATGTAAATATTTGATATTTGAAATAGTTATGTAATATGAATCTATTACTTTATTTACCTATTACTAAAATACGTATCGTGTCGATATTAGGGATGTTTTACGCTCTCTACTATTTAAAGTGGTACGTATAGAAATTATATTTAATGCGTTATCAGGACTTATGCTGTATTATCGACGAATAGCAATTCGTAAGTTTCTATTTATAATAGGTTATTGACGAATGGAAATTGGTATGCTGCTTATGACTACGGCTCCCTAGTAAACCAGGACTTCTATAGTATTACTAACAATACCTCACATATAGAGAACTGACTTATCGACCGTGCAGTAGGTAAATTCGGATTCTCATTCGTATATTTTTGTATCACTTGACATTCGATTAAAATTTATTTCCTCTGGGTGCTGTGTAAGCTAAATTTCACATAGTTCACTCCTGATTCATGACAGTTGAAAGAATCAATGGGAATGGGTTTATATTGTTCTCAGGGATTGAGGTTAGAATGAAACATACTTAATAAATTGTCAGGTTATTTATTTCTTGACAATCTTTGCATTTCTGAAAGTTATATTTCCAGGATAAACAACGAACTCACACCGAGTTAAAACAGTTTCAATTAGAAACCAAAAGCACTTTGATTATTAGATTTACCAAATACAATTAAAACTCAGAGAACCAAGCATAGGCAATGGCAAGTAGCATCTAGTGAATCCTAGTGACAATGACTTTCGTTACTTACATATAGCCACTCCGAGAAATTTAACTATGGAATCCAATAGAAATTTTGGACAGAAAAATTTTTCAATTATGATTAATTTTAACGAGTATCAGGTATAAGTTGTCATCTCAATGGTATTGCAAGAAAAATATATATCTTTCTAAATTAGATCACGTATACTAATAGCATACATTATGTGTATATCCTGTATACTATATATGCATACTACGATCGAATTACTATGATTTCGTAAGAAATTAGAAACAGATTTAATTTCCACTAAAATAATATGCAAATATTGCAAAAATTTAATTAATGGATATATTGGAATATTATTTATATCCAAAATTCTGAGATGTTTCAAATCTAACCTTAAATCTGTAAATGAGTATGTAAAGATAACAAAATAAGGATATTAGGGGATAAATTATATATCATAAAATAACATTCACTATGCCAAGTTAAAATATTATATCATGCATATGTCAACTATCATGAATGAAATATCACAGCCTCATGTTTGTAAAACTGTCACTATATCAATTTACTAAATATTCGAGACCATTATAGTAATTCAAGTGAAAATTGGCTGAATACTGTTTGCATTTCCTATGAAAAAATATTATCAGAAAAAGTTCATAATATTGTAGTTGAAGATAAGTCAAATTAGGTTTGTTACCGTCCAACAACGTGCAATTATACTAATCTGTCGCGATACTGTTCCATTTGTCAAGGTTTTTCGGCATTTACACTTTCTATTTTACAAACCCACGTAAAACATGTGGAAATAATGAACAGCTTTTGGAATAATTCGAATTGTATTTGAAAAAAAATTTTATCTATGTAGTATCCAGTTATTCGTCTCTTACGATTATCCTTAGTACTTTAATTGCTCATTGAATTTTCTGTATTACGATATCGTCGATATATATTATGCAAAATGGCGTCCGTCTTTTTATTTATAACTTTTTATCTTATCTTATTGTACGAAACCAATTTTTAGATATGCTATATATTTAGACAAGCTTATATAAATTTGTGGGAGAGGTGTAGCGATTTTATGTAATCACTAATAATGTAAGGACTAATAAACCAAGGATGTAAGTTCGTTATTAACATATTTTCGACAACAGAGATTTTTATATGCATATATTATTCATTATATATTTTTTAAATAATTTTTGTATTAATAATTCACCGGTACGTAGTTTTTCAAGGTTACAACAAGGTCAAGGAATCTATCACTATTTGGTCCCTCAAGATTTTCTATAATATTCACACGAATTCCAAGCTTTACCGGATATTTACATATTTCCAAATAAAATAAACACACTGTAGATATTCCCTTATTTTTGTATGTTGTTATATTTTCATTTAATTCAGATATATAGTAGTTATATTAGATTATTTTATACAATTAGTTGCCACCATCATGTATTCTTGCAAACTGTGTCAATCAGGATGTAACATTTTCCGTTTTTCGCATGAAATTTCTCGTGAATGTATATAGGTATTCAATAGTGAAATGGTAAATCCAATTGAGAGTGATTTTTCAATTTATCATCAGATATTTCTAAGTTACCTGAGTATGATCCGATTTTTCTTTGAGTGTCATGTCCATTCGATCAACTTTGCATGACAGAGATGAGACCCATTGATCACGAAAGATCGAGACTCTTACTAGCCCACCAGTAAAAACATTTGACTGTAATCAATCTTATGTAATAGCTTCTTTCTCAGAATTCCAGAAATTCCATGTTCACATTGTCATTCTGATACCTCAAATACGTGTCAATATTATTTTATGATTTCTCAAATAGTCTGTGTAACAAATGGAAAGCTGTTTCTTTGTTTAACGCAGTATATGAATTATAATTAAAATTAATATAATATAATGTAATATAATAATATTATAAATTATAATTAATATATAAGAAAAGAAGCAAAACGGTTCCTTATATAACAATAACACAGACATTCATGCATGCTTATAGTGCCACCGTACGGAGATTATAAAAGACTGATAGCACTGCTGGTGGGGCACCTAGTTCAAGTATGTGCGCGATGAAACTATCGACAGTTTTGCTTCTCTTAGGATTCCTTGATTTCTCGTCCCAGCATGACCAGTATCCAAGAGCTAGCACCATCATGGGAACCATACGCGGGTACCACAAGATCTCTCGTCATGGTAGAAAATACGAAGCTTTCGAGGGCATTCCCTATGCGCAACCCCCGGTCGGCAAACTTAGATTCCAAGTATGTTGAATAAAGCGTTAACACTAGAAGTATCTACAAATGTTGAGTTACATCTAAACACGATATATATATAATTAATTTTAACACTTTGACTGCTACGTTGGTCACATATCTGGGATTGGAATAAGTACGGCTCTGCAAGAATGCCAAGTGTGTTTAAGCCTAGGATGGAAGTGACCGGGTGCAAGCGAATTAACTGCAAAGAATGTTTATGGTAGGGTCGAGCAGAAGTTTAGGGATGAGTCCAGAGTGATTGAAGTACCTGGCCCACGCAGGTTGTGTGGGAAAGGGGCATGATTGCAAAGGAAAGCCTGGACATGAATGCTTTAAATAAGGGTGCAAGGGTGTGAGCAGCTCGAGTCTACAGTTTTTAGTCATGAACAGTCTACAATTTTGAACGGTTGTGAAGAGTCTTCTGGAAGTTGCTAAGAGTGGGCCAGTGGGTCAGTAAGAAGTCAAAGTCAAGCGTAGCGGATCTCTCTTGTTTCATAGCCGTCAGTCTACGTATAAGCTTATTGTATTTTATTAAGAAGTAAAACAGTGCTACTTTAGGTAATCCACCCAAACCGATCCCTACATATATGACCAGCCACGGTTTCTCCTGTGACGCCACGTCATTGGTAACTGTGGAACGCTTGAACTACTTAAACTACATTGAACAACATTGAATGAAAATTGACAGTTAGTGAATTTCGAATATAACCACTAATTAGAAGATACTTTGAAATAAAAAGTGCCCCATTGAACGATTTTTAATAGAACATTAAAAAAGTATTGGAACAAATCTTGCATCTGGCGGTGCACTTGCGTGATGTACTGAGGAAAACGTGTGATTTCGGCGTGGCAGTCAAAATTAATAAATTAATTACCTAGCTGGTTTGGTATTTATGACCTTTTGAAAGTAAAACAATTGGTTATAATACTTACAAAGTATATTTTGAACATTCAGCCACCAAAAAGAGCTCGAAAATGGTTGGATGAGCTACCAGCAACGAAGAAGGGCTCTGTTTGCACGCAGTATCTTGCAGAGGGCGCAGCTATAAATGGTGATAGCGTCACTGGTTCGGAGGATTGCTTGTACCTGAACATTTACGTTCCAATTGGGAATAGAAGTAACAATCTGTTACCTGTCCTGTTTTGGATTCATTGCGGTGGGTTCCTGACAGGCAGCGGAAACCATATGAACGAGTCACTCATAATGGACTATAATGTCGTGTTGGTCACGATTAATTATCGCTTGGGTCCATTCGGTAAGATTACATAGAGGATATATTATAAATCACTAGAAATACTAAGTTAAGGGATATCTTTTAAATGGAAATATACTAATCACAGTAATAAAAGTACTAAGATTATTATTTGTTTGCTGTATTGACATAATTTGGACTATCGTAGTTGGAGTTATTATAATAATATTATATATCAAATATAGTATAGAAATAATAAAATTATAGAATAATAGCTTTTTATCTTGCCATATACTCGACATCCTATTTAATAAATAAAAGTATTATGTCATGTTACAATATTATAATGTTATATATTGGTATAATTTGGACTATCGTAGTTGGAGTTATTATAATAATATTATATATCAAATATAATATAGAAATTATAATTATAATTATAATTGTAAAATTGTATAATAATAACTTTTTATCTTGCCATATAGTCGACATCCTATTTAATAAATAAAAGTATTATGTCATGTTACAATATTATAATGTTACAATAATATTACAATATTACAATATTATAATTGTGGACAGAATTTTTATTTTTTGTCCCAAAATTTGTTTAAGGTTTCCTCAGCACGGGAGATGGCGTGGTGCCTGGGAACATGGGGTTGAAGGATCAAAGTCTGGCTCTGCACTGGGTGTCGCAAAACATCGAGGAATTCGGTGGGGATCCGAAAAGAATAACTCTCATGGGTTTCAGTGCAGGCGCTGCAAGTGTGCATTACCATTATTTGACTCCATTGAGTGCTGGACTTTTCCATAGTACGTATTTACAATCGTAGAATATGGTTATATTATTGTTTGGATTTATTTTATTTTATATTTTAAGGAGGAATATCCATAAGTGGTGTGGCACTAAATCCTTGGGCACAGACAGATCGTGCTCCTGAAAAGACTAGGAAATTGGCTGCCTTCGTGGGTTGTTCAACAAGTAGAGTAAAGAAGATGGTCAAATGTCTGCAAACTCGTCCGGCAGGGCTATTATCGCAAGCTGTTAACGACTTCACGGTAAATCCTTTTTCGTTGAGTGGACTTTTCATTCTTTACACTTTGAACAGCGTGTAATAATTAATATATATCCTCTTTGATAATTCATTGCATTTTGTATGTTTGTTAATGTATAATTTACAGCTGTCGAGTTGGACATGGTAATAACATTACACATTAATAATATATTATTAAAGATATAACGATAATAATATAAGATAATGAAGTATTATAACATAATAAGTCGACAATATAATGTATCAACCCTTTGGCCTACGACCACGTGTGAGGCTCGTGGTCAGGTTTTCGAGCCAAAACTGATTATTACGAGCCTGGTCCGTGATACATCGGTCGGGTCAAAATTGACTGTCACGGGCGTGACACGTGGTGTTTACATTTGGCCTGGCCGACGTACCACGTACCAGGCCCGTGATAGTCAATTACGACCCGATTGATTTATCACGGGTCAGACTCGTGATAATCGATGTCGTGAGATTTTAATATATTTAATTTTAATACATTTATAACGTATGAGTAAGTGCCCACATAATGTATTAATGAGATTTTACATTATAAAATAATTTATTAATTATATAACAGTATAATAATCTTGAAATATTTAATTGTAGGTTTGGCTGACCAATCCTAGCGTCTCTTTTGGTCCAGTTGTAGAGGAAGACGGACCTCATGCCTTCATTTCTCGTTCTCCGATCGATGTTATCAATAGAGGGGAAGCATACGATGTGCCTTGGATTTCCGGAGTAGTTAGCGAGGAAGGATTATACGGAGCTACAGGTCTGATTTCTTAAATATTATAAATTTATATAATTATAAATTAAATATTATTACAAAATTAAACATACTTTTATCGTAATTCCATATAAATCTCGTTTTCGTAGAATTCATCACTAATAATACGCGGTTGAAGCAACTGAACGACAACTGGGCCGACATTGCACCCTATTTGCTCGATTATAACGATACCATTCCACTGAATCAGCAAACACAGGTGTCACAAAAGATCAAAGAACGTTATCTAGGATCTGAACCAATCGACAGCAAGAGTGTTACGCCTGTAATACATATGATGCGTGATCGAATGTTCATTGTTAATTTTGAGAAGGCTGCGAGGTTGCAAGCCAGAAACAATAAGAGCCCAGTGTGGACCTACTACTATAGTTACAGAACTATGTACAGCCTGAGTGAAGCTACTAGTCATTCAACAAACAACTTTGGTAATGCTTTTAATATTCTGTTGCTGCATATCGAAAGAAGTTCAATATTTAAAACAAATAAAGCATTGTAGGATGCCGAAAACAGGTTTTATTGTTTTCAACGTACAGGAATTAAATATTCGTATGTTCCTTGTTTAATACGTTGAGTGCGTCGCCATTTTGCTGTACCTTCTTGTAGGAGGAGGGAAAACACAGGGGAAGGGATCGCCCTCACATCGCTAGAATGTAGAGTGTACTTTACTATTTAATTTTACTACGACAGGTTAGCTAATAGGCAGTGTCGAATTTTTGCAGTAGATGGCGCTAGTTTGTTATTCACTACAAAGCAGCGCTCCTAACCTATCAAATGTAATCACATGCTGATTGTAACTATGCAACTGTCCACAAATTGTCAGAAAGCTAGAAAGTGACCAATGCATTACACGATAAAACTTCTTCTGTTTTCGCAAAAATACAGTATTAAGTATCTTTGATACGAATAATTATATACTAAGGGTGCACTAAATTATCGATATTACTTAAACAGGAGTGGGTCATGGCGACGATGTATACCTCGTGATCGACACTAGATCCTCGGATGTGACGCAACCACAAGATGTGGAAATGCAACAAAGACTGCTCGATTTTTACACGTCCTACGCTATAGAAGGGTGAATAAATTCATCAATTTTCTCAACTACTAACTACATATGTGTAGGAAAGGAATAAGTACGGCCCTGAAAGAATGTCAAGTGTGTTTGGGCTTAGAACGAAAGTGACTGCGTGCAAGAGGATCAAATATAAGGGATGTTTATGACAGAGCTGAATGCAACTGAAGAGTGAAAGCCTAGCAATATGTATGAGTGTTTAGGATACGTGATCGACCGATTGAGAAAGGGAGCGTGGGTATGAAAGAAGGCAGAGTGCAAGGGTTTAACACGTTGACTGCCATGGTGGTCACCAGTGGGCGATACTGGACTATGCTACAGCGCCGTGGGGTCCACTGGTGACCGGTGACGCAACCATTAGTAAAAATACATAATTAGAGTAAATATCGACACTGATAAATTTTTAAATAGTACCATTGTTACTATAATGGTTCGAAGAAATTAATGCCATACAAAACATGCAAAAATAATTTTATTTATACAAAAAAAAGGTGAACCAATACAGTCGGCACAATATGTCGCCACTTTTTTAGTGCAATTCTTTGCTCTCATTCTTCCTAGCTGATTTGAATTATTTTCATAGCACACTTTGCAGAATCGCCTTACATTTCGCACACTTCCAGGTTTCTTTTTAAATTCGTGACGACGTTTCTTCTGTACGTAACTGCTCGATGAAATGCAATCTTCGTCATCGGAACATTTCACTAAATACATCGCTAACTTCATCCTAAAATCGGGAATTGAAATATTTTAAGGGATCGCCCTCACATCGCTAGAATGTAGAGTGTACTTTACTATTTAATTTTACTACGACAGGTTAGCTAATAGGCAGTGTCGAATTTTTGCAGTAGATGGCGCTAGTTTGTTATTCACTACAAAGCAGCGCTCCTAACCTATCAAATGTAATCACATGCTGATTGTAACTATGCAACTGTCCACAAATTGTCAGAAAGCTAGAAAGTGACCAATGCATTACACGATAAAACTTCTTCTGTTTTCGCAAAAATACAGTATTAAGTATCTTTGATACGAATAATTATATACTAAGGGTGCACTAAATTATCGATATTACTTAAACAGGAGTGGGTCATGGCGACGATGTATACCTCGTGATCGACACTAGATCCTCGGATGTGACGCAACCACAAGATGTGGAAATGCAACAAAGACTGCTCGATTTTTACACGTCCTACGCTATAGAAGGGTGAATAAATTCATCAATTTTCTCAACTACTAACTACATATGTGTAGGAAAGGAATAAGTACGGCCCTGAAAGAATGTCAAGTGTGTTTGGGCTTAGAACGAAAGTGACTGCGTGCAAGAGGATCAAATATAAGGGATGTTTATGACAGAGCTGAATGCAACTGAAGAGTGAAAGCCTAGCAATATGTATGAGTGTTTAGGATACGTGATCGACCGATTGAGAAAGGGAGCGTGGGTATGAAAGAAGGCAGAGTGCAAGGGTTTAACACGTTGACTGCCATGGTGGTCACCAGTGGGCGATACTGGACTATGCTACAGCGCCGTGGGGTCCACTGGTGACCGGTGACGCAACCATTAGTAAAAATACATAATTAGAGTAAATATCGACACTGATAAATTTTTAAATAGTACCATTGTTACTATAATGGTTCGAAGAAATTAATGCCATACAAAACATGCAAAAATAATTTTATTTATACAAAAAAAAGGTGAACCAATACAGTCGGCACAATATGTCGCCACTTTTTTAGTGCAATTCTTTGCTCTCATTCTTCCTAGCTGATTTGAATTATTTTCATAGCACACTTTGCAGAATCGCCTTACATTTCGCACACTTCCAGGTTTCTTTTTAAATTCGTGACGACGTTTCTTCTGTACGTAACTGCTCGATGAAATGCAATCTTCGTCATCGGAACATTTCACTAAATACATCGCTAACTTCATCCTAAAATCGGGAATTGAAATATTTTATCGAGTTATTTTTCAAACAATTGATAATGACAAAAATGGTCTATAAGGGTGCAAGGGCGCAGAAGTGTCAGAGTGTGTCATTGCGTGTTTTAGAGTCAGTCGTAGAGCTTTTCGAGAGATAGCGAGTGTGAGTTAGCCGAGAGTTATTAGCGCTTAGAATAAGTTTTAGTTTAAAAGAAATCATTTTTACATTTACATCACTGCTTATTTTGTTGCCTACCCAACATTCCTGTATATATTTTTCTACACGAGTTCTTGATAACAGATCTCTGAACATTTCAGCAAACCTCGCGTGGGCCATGCAGTCTGGCAGACATTGGACCCCGACGATAAAGATTTCCGTTACCTGCACATAGCAAATCCAAAAAGCATAACAATGGAGTCCAGCTCCGACTTTGGGCAAAAGAGTTTCTGGGACACGATAAACTTCGACGAAAACAAAAATGTGTTGGTCACAGTTACCGAAAACGACCAAAGGCTACTGAACTACCGTTCTTCCAAAGTTTGTCATGACGTATTTCAATATTTAATAATACTTGCGTGTCAAGTGTAGAATTAGAAGTAAAGCAATTTCTAAGCATACTGAATCAACCTTCCAAATTTCAACGTTTCCTTCCAAGGCAAGCAGGTGAGGTTCACTGTGCATCATGTCTTGGCAGACAAATAAAATTGTTTATTCGTATAAAAAGACAATTCATGCTAGCACGTGTGGATGACAAATATGGAATTTCATACCATGTTTAAATTCTATTTATTTCTTATAAAATCGTTTTCTCTAACAGCACATCACAACCACACTTTTTAATGTCAAGTGTATTTCTTTTAATCGAGAATGTCCTATAGGGGCTAAAAACTGTATTTCATTACTTGTAGCATACAGCTAACAGTTCTAAGTTAATCACAGTTAGCTGTGATTGACGAGTACACTCGTCACGGAGAAGTGGCAGGATTTTGTGTCACGACGAATATACTCGTCATGCGTAAAAAGCAGTGACCATTGGCTATTTAAATTGTAATTTTTGTGAAAAATAAAACATATTCTCGAATTTCAAGATGTTTAGAATATTTTGAGGCCAGGACGGAATAAAACAAACGAATAAAAGATATGAATAATTTGAGATGAACTCATGCGTCCCCGTATGCACCGGCTGAAACAGCTTATCAGTTCGCATAACGAATTTATTTATGCGTGATGATAACGTTTTTTAGGTGTTAGCGTGAAAGAGGCAAAAGCGAAAGTCAAAAAGCTGATTTATGATAGGGTTCCTTCAGAGATGGTTCGCCACGGGACAAATGCGTGACGCTGGCCAGGCACTGAGCCCATTGATGGCTGCTGGCCCGAAGTTACCTAGCTATTTTTTGACAGTCACTAAAATTCATAGATGTCCATAAAAACTAACCAATAGGAGAATAGATGTTAACCAAATAAGTAAATATTTTTGGCGCGAATTGAGTGTCCGGTGTAATGTCAATGTGTGCTAAAGTGTCGATGTAGAGTGTCATACGATGTCTCTTATATTTATTAATAATAATAAAGCAAATGCAAATATGTTTCTGTTGTGAAAATAATAAATTGAAATTGCTTAATCTCCTCGACAAAAATGTTTTATAGTAATAGTAATAAAGTAATTGTAAAATTAACAATAAGAATACAATATATATATAGTTACAAATTTTAATGTACGAGCATTATGAACTCCTTTATTGCACATACTTTTAAAAGATTCTATGAATGCACGATTAAAAATGTGCAGAAGCAATATTAAATGTATAATATATATGTGTAAGTTTATAAATTCGTTGAATTTGTTAAAAACGCGAATTCCAGATTATTTTAGAATGGGTGATGAGTATGGGTATATGGGGTCCCTTTGGCTAATATCAATTTTAGCCTCTATTCGCTTTCTTAACTTTGAAAAGTTGTTTTAAACACTTATGTGTTAGAAACTATTGTTACGAGGAAGTAAATGGCTCTTTCTATATGAAAAAATAATTGTACATATGTAAATTACTGTGCATATTGTTATTGCAAATTATAGGAAGCATATATTTGCAATAAACTATGTAATAACAATTATAAAAGGTTCGAGAATTTTTGGAAAATCGGTTGAGCTTGAGAATTTCTGTTTGTCCTCGGGCAAGGGTACCCTCGGTTCATATAGGCACTTGGAGGTCACAGGACACGTCAGTTGTTCCGCGGTCGTCATAACGTGCACATCTAAACTTGAACCGCCTATATTAACTTACTTAACTATTTTTCACTTATAATAATTTATTTAATTTACTTATTGATTATTCACTTTTAATTATTTATTTAATTAATTAATTTACTTATAACTTTCAATTATTTATTCAATTAATTAATTAATTTATAACTTTTAATTATTTATTTAACTTATTTATTTATTTTTCACTTTTAACAATTTATTTAATTCATTTATTTATTTTTCACTTTCAATAATTTATTTAATTCATTTATTTATTTTTTATTTTTAATAACTTATTTAAATTTATTTATTTTTAATTTTTAATTATCCATTTAATACCGAAATAAACATTTTGTGTTTCATCTTTTTAAGTTCACTAGTGCTAGTGGACATTAAACATTGATTATTTAATTATTTAAAATAATAAATATAACTAAATCGTATACGTTCGAACGATTTTACACGCGATTCTTTTACTCGAACCGGTCGTAATAAGTTCGCGATATCGCGAGTGAATTGTGAAAGTGTTCGAAGAAAAGAAGAAGGAATTTCTGTCAACCAATGTGACATCGCTAGATCGACGACATGACAAAGAGAGGACACAGTGACTCTGGTGCCAGGACAAAGGCGACTACCAATCCAGAGCTGCTTTCATATGGAGAAGAGATCAACGATCGGTGAGTCGCATGTTTACGATTCCTCTGGTCGCCCATCATGTCGTAGGACGAATGGTCCGAAGCGACACGGGTGACCGGTTGTATTTAATTATATTTGTAGCGAGCATAGTGACCACGAGTGCTAATGTACTAATGTACAATAGCACTTGTGCAATATATATTTCTGTGATATATTCGTTGGATCAGGCTAGGGCTTTCTTGTACATCGCGAATTAGAATCTCGGTTTTCGGAAAGAATTTTTAATTTCGATTCTAAACAAGAAATTTTAGTTCATTTCGTTCATTGCTATATTTATTTCACGCGATTTTTAACGAATACAAGTACAAGAAAGCATTCCTCTTGGAGAAGTTTCCAAAATCAAAGTAATAATTCGAATGATTTTAAATTATTAGAGGCGTTGCTTTGACTTTGGAATTTCTCATATTTTTAACGAAATTCCCCAGTTTCCCCATTTCACATCTTTTTTTATTTTTTTTTTTTTATTAATACATTCTTCTTTTGTCGAATCAATTGAAAAGTAGAGTCACCCCAGCACCTTAGTTGTCCCTAATCTCCATTTTTAGTTAGGATTTTCAGCAAGAAGACACCATCATTTTTAATATTATTTTTAATATTATTTTCGTCACTATGCTCGCTACTTTGTTTCATTATATTTCACAGGTGTATTGTATTTTTGCACATTTGTGCAATATTACTGTGCATATTGTGCACACTGTGCATACTGTGCACATTGTATTCGAGAGTTCGTCGAAATAAATCTGATAATAAAATTAATTAATAATAAAACTAAACTCGATATATCGCGATTGGTATTTAAAAGTCCCCCTCAAAAGTACTCTCTTTTGATGTAACATCGGAAAAAGTAACATCACGAGAAATGTGATAACCTATGTTGCATCTCGTGTACTTTTTTCCACTTTTCCCACTATTTTTGCGACTTTTAAAGCGCCATAAGTGGCAGCACGTGTGACGTAAGAAATGATTTCTTATTTAATTATAGAATAATTTTATACATTTACCAATTCTCCATATGAAGTTTTATTTCCGTGTCATTATCAATTACTCTTCCCCTTTTGCAGATGTTAGGCACCCTATATTTCATAATTTATTTTAAAATTTATTTTGTGATATATGTTGTACTTTATTTTATAGTATACACTGTATTTATTTTTGTGATTTATTTTCTGTATATCATATTTTGTACTATATTTTTCTAATGTATATATTATATATATGTATGTGTTAAATGTATATTTTAGGCGTGGGTCTCGATTGCGTAGCCACCTCCACGTGGTGAGACCTGGTAATTGGCATCGTTTGCCAAAGATATATTTCCATATTCGTTTCAATAAATTTTATACACTACTTTTCGAATTTTTCGATTAGTTCATCTTTGACAAACGATGCCAAGCTAAGAGCTACGCAGTACTTGCTGAATAATCGAAATAGTATGTCTATACCTACAGTCGATCTTCATCATCAAAGAGATTTCGTGAATATATCAATAGAATTTTTCAAATTAATATCACAAATGCGTCTTTTTTTTATCTTGAATTTTCTATGTTTGTAGTATCAAATCTCTCGTATTTTGGGTCGGTAATATAGAAAGTGACACTGTCAATCAACGATAGATATTCATACTTCGAATATGCATATCTATTCTGTAGGTTATGTTGCGAGGGACTTAGATATGGTGAGGTTATCTCAGAGTTTTGTATCTAATGTCAGTAATGTTGAAAACTATATTAAAATTGTATGCATGACTATTTACATTATTCTGATAATATATATCAGTAAAAATAATCTAAAAACACTTTACATTTAAAATTAATTTTATAAATGAAATCTCAGAAACTAGTAACATTTTATTACAGTAAATGTAATAATAAATTCGATTCCAATTTTTAATTGATGCATTAATTCTTACTTTGCGTATAGCTAAAAAAGCTGTTTATAGATTGACAGAAATTTTTACAATATGATCTTTCTATATTAGTTAATTTTAAGAACTTAGGAATGATTAAACTATATATAGTTCCCAAGTTCGCCGCTTAAAATTGTAGAGGGCAGAACAAATCGTCAAATGTTTTGCATGATCGGTATTTCAGAACATTAGACATCCCGTAACCTGATAAATCTATTCCATACTGGTCATCTAGTACTTGATAACGCAGTGACAGTCGGTAACAGGTAATGATTTTACTCCTTGCGAATATTTGGATGAATACGTGTGACAAATTTCCCGCGTGATAGCGTGCTAAGTTGTCAGTCGGCCATCAACCACCGGTACGTGTGGATTATTAAGATACGCATCGTTTGTTATATTGCGAAAATATTCGGGAATTTAGTGTAAACAATTCGTACAACTTTGAGGAAGTCAGCAGGTTGTGAAACCTATAGAATAGGTATGTGTTTATACGTATTTCAACTCGATTTTCCAATTACGTGTTCTTTCTAAAATAATTTTTATTTTTCAGTTAGACATTCGCATATAAATATTACGTAAGTTGTCGGATCAATTACTTATTTGCAAATCAACTTAATACCATAATATTGATTAATATAAAGGATAACATGTAACTTAATATTTCCATATTCGTTTCAATAAATTTTATACACTACTTTTCGAATTTTTCGATTAGTTCATCTTTGACAAACGATGCCAAGCTAAGAGCTACGCAGTACTTGCTGAATAATCGAAATAGTATGTCTATACCTACAGTCGATCTTCATCATCAAAGAGATTTCGTGAATATATCAATAGAATTTTTCAAATTAATATCACAAATGCGTCTTTTTTTTATCTTGAATTTTCTATGTTTGTAGTATCAAATCTCTCGTATTTTGGGTCGGTAATATAGAAAGTGACACTGTCAATCAACGATAGATATTCATACTTCGAATATGCATATCTATTCTGTAGGTTATGTTGCGAGGGACTTAGATATGGTGAGGTTATCTCAGAGTTTTGTATCTAATGTCAGTAATGTTGAAAACTATATTAAAATTGTATGCATGACTATTTACATTATTCTGATAATATATATCAGTAAAAATAATCTAAAAACACTTTACATTTAAAATTAATTTTATAAATGAAATCTCAGAAACTAGTAACATTTTATTACAGTAAATGTAATAATAAATTCGATTCCAATTTTTAATTGATGCATTAATTCTTACTTTGCGTATAGCTAAAAAAGCTGTTTATAGATTGACAGAAATTTTTACAATATGATCTTTCTATATTAGTTAATTTTAAGAACTTAGGAATGATTAAACTATATATAGTTCCCAAGTTCGCCGCTTAAAATTGTAGAGGGCAGAACAAATCGTCAAATGTTTTGCATGATCGGTATTTCAGAACATTAGACATCCCGTAACCTGATAAATCTATTCCATACTGGTCATCTAGTACTTGATAACGCAGTGACAGTCGGTAACAGGTAATGATTTTACTCCTTGCGAATATTTGGATGAATACGTGTGACAAATTTCCCGCGTGATAGCGTGCTAAGTTGTCAGTCGGCCATCAACCACCGGTACGTGTGGATTATTAAGATACGCATCGTTTGTTATATTGCGAAAATATTCGGGAATTTAGTGTAAACAATTCGTACAACTTTGAGGAAGTCAGCAGGTTGTGAAACCTATAGAATAGGTATGTGTTTATACGTATTTCAACTCGATTTTCCAATTACGTGTTCTTTCTAAAATAATTTTTATTTTTCAGTTAGACATTCGCATATAAATATTACGTAAGTTGTCGGATCAATTACTTATTTGCAAATCAACTTAATACCATAATATTGATTAATATAAAGGATAACATGTAACTTTTCTACAATTTCATTAATATCTCCTAGTACCATTTAGATGTGTGTGTATTAAATTTTTAGTCTACTACACATTTCGATACACAAGCTCGTAAATATTTTGAATTCAACGGTTTTTTAGCAGTTGAAACTTTCGTAGGCATTCATTTGTTTTCAACATTTTTAGCTTACCAATGATGTTCTAGATATACGAGAATATCTTTTGTTATATTATCTTTCAAACATTTTTAAATCTTTTACCATGTCTTGGTAATTCCAATTGTCATAGGCATTTTTCTGACGCGTAGTAACTATCAATACCCGTGTCTGCCATCAAATGTGTTACTCAACTTGGCTCAAGATGAAAACATTAGGTTTAATCAATGCATTTGATTTTTCTCATTATTCGAAGATGTGTTCTGTTTTAAACTTCTGAATTCTGTTTGTTTTAATATTTGTGTAAAAATTAATACGAATATCGTAGAGTTACCAACAGTCATATGAAGCTAATAAATATTAATTAATAATTCTGAAAAATTAATTTTATAAACCTCATTTTGTAAATTTTTGTGGTATAAAAGATTTATTTCAAAATACGTGTAATTAGAAAATTATTAAATTCTAAAATAACAAATCGATAGTTATTTTTAAAGCTATTATTTTCTAGTTTATATCGTGATTTAATAAATAATATTGTATATTATTTGTGTTATAAATGGTTTACAGAATTTCAAAACAATTTAAATCATTTCAATCTGTGAAGGAAGAGCCTTGACGAAGTTATAATACGTATCGAGTTACATGGTACACAAAGTACATTACTGCATTAAAGTGCCATTTTTGTTCTGTTTTATCTTCGAATCTATCGATACCATCGATTACAGTTTTTATGTTAGCATGGATAAATGGGAATGCACGTGGACGCAAATGTTTTATCTTTCTTCTTATATGTTGCTTTTTCTATCTCCCACTCATTTCATCTCAACTTTCATCTACAAATTTCTCTTTTTATTATTTTATTTTTATTACTATTTTTTCTGTTTTGTTTATTAATTATTTTTTATTTCTATTTCTGACTTTGTTTGATTCTATAATCTTTTTTAAATTTATTTCGTAAATTGTATACGTGAAAATTCAAATCGTATTGTAAACTATACCTAACCATGATTATTGTAGCTACTAGACACGCTAACAGCGTCATACTTTGTTGCAAACGATAAATCTGGTGGCAGGTTTTATGGTTCGTCGTGTTATAAATGCTCGCAAGGGTGCACCTCTGGTCTCTTATGATACTTGTATCCTGTCATTTGTTACATCTTTAAGCTGATCTGTCATTGAAAGGAAACTAATTCGTTCGCGTTCGTTATTTGATACTTCGCTGTTATTCGATGAAGAGAAGCATTTTCTACGTTTAACTTTTTACAAAATTTCTTGCGTTTTCATAAAGACGTTATAAAAGTGATTAAATATTCATTATGTGTTACGAAATTTCTTGAACAAGTTTTCTTTAGCCGATTTCTTTGGTAGAATGTGAATTACGTTTCGAATGCATCCGTTATCGATATAGTACATGTAGGATGTGCAAATCGATCGATATTTTTTTAATACTTGATAGTGATACTTTATTTAAAAGATAACCAATTAATAATGTAAATTATCGACCTGCTCTGTGGACTGACCTCGTGTTACGATTCATGATATACATGCATTCATTAGAGTGTAAAGATATTTCAATGAAGTGTGTCTTTAAGACATTTCTGGAAGGTGCTTCGTCACGTATGTGACAGCTTAAGCGAATGTTTGTGATCTAATAAACTTCATGCATAATGTAACCATCTCATAAGGTAAGGTCAATATCACAATGAAAGAATAAAAATTGATGAATTTATTTGAAAAAATTGCAAAGTTAATATCGAATAAAGAGAGATGTCAGTAAATAAATTTAGTTATTCTGTTCATTTAGGTGTCACAGTTGAAGGAATGTGTGCCATTGTAACCTCAAATCAATGATTCGCGATTAATAACAAGACATTTTAATAATACAATGCGTGCATAATGCAAGGTAATAATCACCTGTCACGTGAAATACATTGTATTCAAGTATTCTTGAAAAAGTCTTACATTCTTTGTTTCGTTCTGCAGAAAATGTGAAATATATAATATTAAATTTACATGTGTGGTATGTGATATACGATACACAGCATATGTGGATAATTTTATACTGTTAAATAATACGCCTATCTTTTTCAACTTGTGAATTTGTTACATAAATGGTCTTTCATAAAACAAGTTATATTTAACAACAAAAATGAATGAATAAACGAAATGGATTATAGTTCAATGCTAATTACTGTAAATTAATTTAACCTAAAAGTTAATTCTTTATAAATATTTTTATAATTTTTTTTCACATTTACGTTATGTTTTGATACTTTTTTATTCAGGTAAATTAAAAGATACTTATGTACAAAAAAATTCAGGTTATCATTAAAATCTTTTAATATTCCTTTTCATATCAAACTTAAAAAATGTTTCAAATTTTGTTTTACTTCAAATTATGACTGCAGATTTAATTGCATTATACCTTATAAATTCATTAGGTATTTGAAAAAAAATGGAACATTAAATTTCCTTAAAACATCGAACTAATACACAAAATGCAGAATTCTATGTACATATTTCTATAAAAATATACCTTGCAAGCACAGAATTAAATTTTTTTTTTTCTGAATAATGGGGAAAAAATAAAAATGAGCGTTAATTTTATAAAACTTTTTTATTTTTTTATGAGTACACTATCTTTTCTAAATCGTGCGTAAACATAACTTCCAAATGAACTTGTTCAGTTGAACTTTCAATGCTATTATCTTACTATAAGTGAATAAAAATTATTCGTGTTACTTAGTTACCGCAAATTGTACATATATATTTTAAGTATACTATTCATGCTAATTCTCTTTGCATTACAGGTTATACATATTTTGGTGCTCAAGATCGACTCGTGGCGTGTTTTCAAGAACATGGAGAGTACTCTGACGGAATTCGAAGAAAACTTGTCCTTCGATATCGATGACCCGGACTTTGCCCCGTTGAATCCTCGTACTATTGCTCAGAATGTCCTTCGCAGTGTACAATTCAGCGACATTACATTTGGCGTCAACAAACGTGAGTACATTCACTTGTGGTACAGTTACTCTAGAGTACACGGGATACAAGGATATAAGCAAATAAAAACATGATTGTTTTTAAAACAACTATCTATTTTCAGGTGTGGTAAAATACATATAAATAAGTCAGTTAACATATTTATTACTTACATCAAATTTTTACCTCGTTACAATGTTTGTGCAGGCTCATTTAGTGCTTGCTTGCGATATTTCTGTTTAACTATTTCGCACATCACTGTATTTAATTTGCTTAATAGAAAGATAATAATCGTTTCACTAATATATTTGAATAAGAAGTATCTGTTACGTGACTGTATGACATCAATTTATGAAAAAGAAGAAATCAGCTTCTTCGATTATTTATGTATCCTTTTTTCAATATTGATTTTTTTAATTCTGATATTCTAAAATAGTATCTGTACTTTTTTGAGTACGGTATTTTAATGACTTTCTTTTATATATAACAACGTTAATACCAAACAAAATTTTCCTCCATTTTCGGTTTATTTTCTTCCATAAAATAATTACCAAGTAGACCGTATCGCTTCTGGTATGGGATCAATTACGTGTTAAAGCAACGAATGAAATATGATGTTCGAGTAGCAAAACATTTAGGTAATAGAACAGTGAAATAGTAGAGTGTTCAGTTAATAGGTATTAGCTAATAGGTATTTGAATAATAAAGACTGCGATATTTCTCGTCAAGTACATACTGGGTGTCCCAAAATTCACGCAAGAAGTAATTAGATAGAAAACACGTTGTTCCCCATTTTTAATAACCCTAACCCTGTCTTTTCTTTCCTTACGTTACGCTTTACCGCATAAATAGCGCAAAGTTCAAATATTGCGTGAATTTTGGGACGCCCGTTAGTTACGATTTTCGCCGTTTCTGGAATATTCCAGATGTCGCTAAAATCGCACACGCGCGGAACTACGATTACGTGTGCCTGATCACGCGACAGATCTAAGGTATCATTGTCATTAAACGATGCTAGTGCAGTATAATTGAGCGGGAAATTTTCCACGAAAATTCCATCGTATTTTATAACCGGTGTTCAGTGTCATTAGTGAGGTAATATAAAGCTATCGATGAACATTGCAGTGCACTTCTCGATACCACTACATTAATGTTGTATAACTCGGACAAAAACATGGCGTTCATAGTTCGTGCAAAGGATGTATCAGGACGTTGAGTCGTCTGCATTCCACGTACAGCTGTATATGTTAATCTTAGATCTGTTTTGGAGATTTATGATCACAGAGAGGATGACGTAACTGTGGGCTGAGGCACAATCGAAGCATGTATCCAATATTAATAGCTTGTTTTGTCCCCTGGCATCTGCTGACTTCGTCGAATGATTCAGAATTATAATTGAATTTTTTCAATTCTAAATCCCACATTTTTAGACTCTGGATATTATTTATTTAAAGAGAATTAAAAATCTGAGACAGAGGAATTGTTATTTATGAGGTGGAATGTATATTTAAAATATCTGAGATTGAGTATACAAAGAGATTTTTATTATAAGAAATTTGTAGAATGAAAGATAAATAGTTGTAATATATAATAAATAATTGACTACTGGGATATTGAATAAGTAAAGATATTAGGCTAATAAATAATTGAAATAATTCAATCTTGTGCAATATTAATTTTTAAACGATACATTACTTTTACATTACTACATTATTAGAATCAATTCAATTGTACTTTGCACGAAGAAAACGTGTATCAGTGATCTAAGAGGGAATAGAAGCGGTCGCCCCTCTGAAAGAATAATTTTAAAAAATAGTATGTATTATATTTTATTTAATCACATATATTTTAATTATTTTTATTTTTTATTATCTATAAATAATTAATATAAATTTAATTATTCAAGTTATGCACATTCTTAAAGGCTATAGTATACTATTAATAGCTCGTGGATTCGACCTTATATACTACCTATGAATAATAAAGTCCAGGAATATTATATCAATAATAATTATCGTTAATGATACGTGTTAGTAATTTGCATTACATACTCCTGTACTCATTTTGCCTTTATTTCAATTCCATATATTATATGAACACGAAAGAAGTGCGAAAATATATGCTGATCTTAAAAATTTTTATTCTGGGCACAGACAATTATGCATTCTGAAGCTTATCGTATTGCTAGTTGCCAGCTGATATTTTATCACGTATGAAACGATCTTGTTACGTTAAATGACCACACGTTATACTGTTAGTGACGTCAAAGTACATTGTTTTAGTGTTTCTATCTTTTTGCAACAATAGTTTGTTTGATGAAAAACTGGTATTTTGTATATTTACAAAATTTTAGATTCTATTTTATTCTATAGAATATTTAAATATCTTCTAGATTATATCTTTGGAAAAAAAGATTGTATTCAATTTTCACTTTGTGACCAATCTAAAAGAAAAAGAAAAAATACATATTTGTATTTTTAAATTTTAAATTAAGTATATAAAATTTTAATTAAGTATTTAGCTATATAACTTTCCCGATTTTAACTAGAATTATTGTTAATTAATTTATTAGCTTTAGACATAAACATATGTTCCATCTGTAAACCCGCGAAATTTAAAAATATATATTGCAGTGTTCACAATGTTACAAAAGCATTATATGGCGCTTGGCTAAAAAGTTCTGTGTAGGAAAATACTATGAAATGTGTAATAAATAAACGGGTACAGAAATTAAAATGTTTAATAAAAAAAACTAGTTTCAGGAATATCGGAAATTCTGGTATCTTCAATTCGCTGTTATTTGAAAACTCGTATATTTCTCTGCAACGTGCATTTCGCTGTACCACAACGCCCTCAAGTTGATTGCAGTCGACTGTGAAACTAAACTTCACTTTCACTTCCAAACTATAATAATTAGAGTTTTTCCTAAAAATTAAATTTCACGTTAATTCGCTGAAAAACGACGTTCTCCTAATTCCAAATCTTCCATGAACTCACCTGATCCACGATAGTTAAGTTAATTACAGTATTCAAATTCATTGATTCGTTCCGGTATTTCTAATCACTCCGTTGGAAAGCTAGTTTATTTTATCGATGCAGCAACTGGCGTCGTAGAATGATACGGCTTTTTACCGCCATAAACGAGGGCGTTCGGATCGGCCTGATCGTAAAGAAGCATTCCGTACGACGCATCGTCGTTTGATTCGCGACAGCGTGGTATGATATAGTTACCTCTGCGGTTCTATTGTTATATTAGACACAAAGCATGCATAGTTTGCGAGACGAGAACTTGATCTACGAACAAAATTGGATCCACGTGGATATTAGCTTTCTTCCTGAGAAATCAATCTCGAGTCGGTGTGTTATACGGACCTAATCTAGCCTGCGTCTGGCGCGTGCGTTAATCGCATAGATAACGATGTCCCTTTGTTCAACCGGCAACTAGAATCCCGTTGCATCGCTCGGCGACAATGACCTGTTACACTCGGATGTGTCATTGATATTTTTCCTTTTCTACATTCTATCCTTTTTATTATTTTATATTCTAATTTCTTTAATTTTAGAGGACATAATGTCAATTCGAAATTTGGTTTCTTATTCCGCTAATCATTGGATCATTGACACCATTGATAATTACACTGTTCAACACGGAATTATAATCTGTAATATTCATCGGGTAATTTTCATAGAGTTTACTTTCCTGAACACGAATTCGTAATCGAAATTGCTCCAAAAATTGTGAGTGTTTCTAAAATGGTTTATAAAATTTGTTCTGAAAAGAAAAATGATTAGTAAATTATTTAAGGGGTCAACCTCAACTTCATCTCGGACCCCTCCTGTGTACATTAAGACAATTTTAACCTATCACTTCTGAGGCCGAAAATCGACGAAAAGTTCCGAACTTTACCAATTACATTATTTATTACTTCACCGTTGTAATAGCCAATAATTTATTAATTTTTTCACTTTTATTATAAATTTACATTCTGAAAAATTTATGACAAGTGATTCAGAGAAGTTTCTTATAATTTTACGTTTAGTATAAAAGAATATAGGACCATGATTTTGGTGCCGGTTACGCTTAACTACGGCCCTGGCGAAGCTAGATATGCCAGCAATGGCTGCGTGGCGGGAAAATCCCGCTTACGGTTCCCGATGTATATTTTATCGTCCTGTGAATATTTTAATATTTTTGAAAAATTTTAATATTGTTCTAGAATGACAAGCTGTACGAAAATCATCATTGGATATTACAGATTAGAGAAAAAGTTAAAATTTATTAGATAGTGTTATCCATGCTTTTATGAATATATACTCGTATATTTATTTAAACGAAATTAAAAAGTTACATTGGCAATTACTTAATTATAATAGATATTTTATAGTATATGATTGAAATAATTGTAGATAATCTACACAAAATGTAGATAATTTTTTAAATTAAATTTATTAGAAACTTTTTATCGATGATATCCATGTGTGATAATTATTATAATGAATATATTAAGTAACTGTGTTAGTTTCGCTGCATAATGTGATATTTGTAATGAATTTCTTCATTATACGCGTAAGAATCTCTTTAAAGATAATTGCTGCATCGTTCTCACGTGTATGTTCAACTTTGATGGAATTTTCAAACTAGATCAACGAGTTATATCAGACAAATTGCAATTGCGTGGAATTCTTGAGGCTTATTTTTCTTCAATTATCTTATAAGAACATTGATTCAAAAGATATATTTGTTCGCGTAATAAAAATTTTATCTCTGCTATTTATCCTTGATCACCTAAGTGTTGCAGACTATGTTAAGAGATTAAATAGTGCTCTAGAAATAAGTAGAACTGTTTGAGATAATTCCACTTCTTAGGTTTCAAATTTGTTTGTTTTGCAATTTTTATAGTTTTATTGGTATTAGATCTTATCAGTACTTTCATTTATAATTCATTCTTTATACTTTACTTTACATAATACTTTAAATTCCAATTCATATTTTATACAGTCGCGTTTAAATAATTCATATG